AGCATGGTTTAGTCCTGGTTTTGTCCTGGCTAAATCCTGTTTAGTCCTGGTTTAATTCCTGGTTTAATTCCTGGTTTAGACCTGGTTTAGATCTGGTTTTATTCCTGGTTTAGACCTGGTTTAGATCTGGTTTTATTCCTGGTTTAGACCTGGTTTAGATCTGGTTTTATTCTTGGTTTAGACCTGTCCAATTTATGTCTCTCTTTTTTAATTTTAATCTTCATGATTATTTATGTTTTGATTTGTTTTTATTATGATTTTAATGTATTTCTTATTCTGTTAAAGCACTTTGAATTACTTTGTGTACGAATTGTGCTATACAAATAAACTTGCCTTGCCTTGCCTTAGACCTGGTTTAGATCTGGTTTTAGACCTGGTTCAGACCTAGTTTAGACCTAGTTTAGACCTAGTTTAGACCTAGTTTTAGACCTGGTTTAGTCCTGGTTTTAGTCCTGGTTTAGTGCTGGTCTAGACTTGGTCTAGACTTGGTTTAGACCTGGTTTAGTTCTGGTTTAGTGCTGGTTTAGACTTGGTCTAGACTTGATTTAGTCCTGGTTTAGATCTGGTGTAGACCTGATTTAGACCTGCTTTATCCCTAGTTCAGTTCTCGTTTAGTTCTGGTTTAGTCCTGGTTTAGACCTGATTTAGACCTGATTTAGCCCTGGTTCAGTTCTGGTTTAGTCCCTGTTTTAGACCTGGTTTAGTTCTGGTTTAGAGATGCGTATAGGGGCCCGGTACTGGTCCGCAGCCCTTGGGTTGGGGACCCCTGACTTAAGGAACTGAAAGAATTTGCTTGCTTTGCTTTATACTTCATGTTTCCTTTGTGTTTATAAAATGTAGAAAGTATTAAGAAAAGAAGAAGAAGAAAATAAAAGAATTAAATGACTAAATGACATGACGAGTCAAAAGTTTGGACACACCCTCTCATTCAGTGTTTTTTTACTACTTTATTCATTCTTGATTCATTCATTCTAGATACATACAGAAGACATAAAAACATGAAGCAAGATATATTGATTTTTTCTTTACTAAATAACTCTAAATACTATTAAAATACAAAGCAGAAGTGTAGCTAATTTGATTACAAAATATTTTTTTAGTTATAAGTTATTGTACTTTTTTCCCTTTACAACATAATTCCATACATGTTACTTCATATATTTGATGTCTTCTGTAGATATATTGTATTGGTAAATGCATAAAGAATTCATGGAAACAGGTTTGCTCTGGTTTCAGCTTTATTCAGAACCCTCAAAAAAAAAAAAAAAGAAAAAAAGAAAACAGTGCAGAGTTATGTCTTTGCCTAACTCATGGTCCGAACACACGCACCGAAAATGACTCCCTGTCACCAGCAAGCCCCAAAGAAAAACCTTCCCATAAAGCATTGCGGCCAAGTTTATAGTTCGCTACAATATCAAATGTAGAAAGTAGTAAAAAAGAAAAAAAAAAAAGCACTGAATGAGATGGTGTGTCCAAACTTGTGACTGATAGTGTATAATATTAATGATCTCTCTAAAAAACCCATCTCTGTTGGACTTACTCGCTCGCTTATGTGGCATTTGTCCAGGTCTAAAGTAGATCACAGAGAGGAGCAGGGGGGAGGAGGGAGCCGTGTTTCAGATCACAACAGAACAGACCACTCACCTGTGCGTTCTCCGCTGTCAGGTGGGCTCTTTCATGTCATACACCGGGTCAAGCCATCTGTCTCAGCCGCTCGGCCTGGTTTGGATCTCGCCGTCTCTCTAATACCGATATATCGATCAAATCTGTGCAAATCTTGAACAACCCTAATGCGTTGTTTAAAGGGCCCATATTATACTATTTTCCGGACTATGTTATAATGTTGTTTCCTCATCGCAAACAGACCTGGAGTTGTGTTTTGTTTTATTCAGGTGTGTTTAATTCACACATCTGGCATATTTAGGCTGAGTTCTTCTTTCAAACAGAAAATCCTGATGTCATGTGGTAATACAGGATGTTCTCCACTGTGTTTTTAAACTCCATACACCTTCACTAGAACCATTAGAGCTAAAGGTTCAAGGTGTTCATTTGAAAACTACTGCTTCATGACATCACAACGTTTAACAGAGCATTTTGAGCTTTGGGGATGTCTACTGCCCAGGATTACTCAAACATGTGAATGAAATAAAACACATTTCTAGGTATGTTTTGAGGAGATAACAGCATTATAACATGACCTAAAGCACCCAAGTCAATTTTGTGAAACACAGGACCTTTAAATATGTTCAAGCAAGACAAATGGTAAAATTATTTCACCTCTCTCTATATAAAATCTAACTTGGGCAAGGTATACTTTGTACAAGCATGTCACAGTTAGTGTTAAGATTATTTTGAAAAGAAATACCACTATTTAACCATTATTCATGATTTTTAACACATAACAAAACTAAAGTGAAGTCCTTCATTTTCTTTCATTCTAATCCATTATGTAGTCAACTTTATGAAATTTTATGAAACTTTCTGAAAGAGGGAGTATTTCACTTCCATGCAGAATTAACTGATAACACATAGCATATTTAGATCACCATTTACCTTTTAATTGGTTTGAAAATGCTATATTTGCTGGAAACTATGTAATAACATGACAAGTTTCTGTTTTCGTCGAGTCACCCCTGACTTTGTTTCCTGTGGTAAGTCGCTCCCCCTTCAGAGCGCTATCACAACAGGGTTCATCGCCAATGGAATTACAGCGCATCGCGTCAGGTTTGTGAAGTGTACAGTTTTGTATCGTGTGGGAGTGTAGGTGATGTTGGCTTGAGGCCTGAGCATAAGAAGGGTTCGAATAAGGCCTGGGAGAGACTGCTAAAACACTCACACATGCCATCTAAAACCTAGGTATGTTTTTGATGAGGGAACTACTTTAAAACATGGTAGAAAGCTAAAAAAAACAAAAAAAAAACAAACAAACATAAAAAGATTTTGCATAATACCCCCTTGTTAATGCAGAAGTAAAGTTATTGTGATATAAACAAACACATTTAGGTTTAATTCATTAATCATTTCATTTATACAGCACCTTTCAAGAAACCCAAAGCACTTGACAGCTCATTGTTCATTCACTCCACACTCAGTGGTGGCAAGCTACTATTGTAGCCGCAGCTGCCCTGGGGCAGACTGACAGCAGTAAGACTGCCAATCTGCATCATCGGCTCCTCTGACCACCACCACACTCACTCATCGTCACCCCACTTTCTTACAAGATCAGGCTTTGACAACAAAGTATGACCACATAAGGCTAACTGAATTTTGCTTCTAAAGTGGTCACTATTATAGTATTTTAGTTTTTTTCTATTAAATTCTGATTTGAATAATCATGATTATCAGTTAATCGAATAATTTTGACATCCCTACTTTGTCACCACCAGGTATTTTGATTGAACTTTAAAATCATAAAGAGGCTCTTCCTGTAGAAAGTGGGTTTCACATCAGCAGGTTGAACAGTGCAGCTTCGACACGAGCTATTGTGTGCCTCATTTATTCTTCCAGTAACAATGTAACTCCAGATTACTACACCTCTTTTATGATCTAATCTCTCATAGACAAGGAGATAAAAATGGCCCAACATTTTCCTGACCCTCCCCCCTCCCATCCCGCGCACGTATAGACAAGGCCCCGAGCTTCCCTGTTTAATGAACTCATGCATTTTAATACAGATGATGTGTTAGCAATATAGGCCCATGAGGACATCTAATTTTAGGCTTGGCATCATCAAAGCGCCATTTTCCAGGCTGTGTTTGCAACATACTTACACTCTTGGACATGTGTTAGGGAATTTAAGAGAAGAAATAGGGCCTAACGGTGTTGGCAAGTTACGCAAAGGCGGAAGGAGATGGTCGAAGAGTACACACCTGAAATTACTGCGCAGATGCACGTGAGTTAGCTCATAGTAATTTATTGACGAAAAAAGTCAGAATTGTGCATTTATTCTTCAAAATGATCCTACATGGTGCAAGTTTAAGTCATTATTTAGGATTATTGCTCAGGTAATCCGCTCACAGAGTCGCTAGATTCTGCTAGCTTGTGTAACCTAAGGTAGTTTGCTCCACGCCCTGTTTTCGTGCATGTGTTTGTTCTTCAATTTTATTTTTTATTTTCGATTTGTTTTCCTCAGAATGTGCTACATTAGCCTACACAAATGACCCACATACATATTTTTAATTGACCCTCATTAATAACTCAATTTAACAGAAGTGCACGTCAGGTTGGTGCATATTGTTTAAAATGATGTTAAATGCTGTTACAACTTGTTGGTGCATGATTGCGTGGTGTGTTTGTGCTGTTTCAGCGGCTCAAACCAGTGGATTATGTGTGAAACTGCCACAAGGCGCGACCAATGGAGGTGTTTAGCAGGAAAGCACAAGAATGCGACTTGAATACAAGAGTCAAAGTGTTGAGGCAACTCTGGGCTGAGCGCGCTCTAGCGCAGTGAGCGAGGGACAGACCGACGCACAGTCCGTCTATCCATCCATCCCGGAGCCTCTGCAGAAGCGCGCAGCCACACAGCCCAGGCGGCACAGGCACAGGCACAGGCACGGACTCGGCGCCACACCGCGCACACGCGTGCACAGCCACCGAGGTCCAGTCTCCCGTGCACGACAGGAACCACAGCTCGAGAGAGAGGAGGGAGAGACGTCGCAGCGGGTCCCGTGCGCCGTGGGAAGCCTGCCGGAGCACAGCCAGAGCATCTACTGTACAACCCAATGAGCGTGTGCGTCTGCGTGCGTCCGGCGATCGCCTCCTCGCCTGGGACAGGAATAACGGGATACCGGGAGCTCTCATCGCGCGCATAGAGGCAGCTTGAGCCCCACCATGGAAGATTGCAGTGGAGATTCAGCGCTAAGCAAAATGAAGATTGGATTATAACAACTGTGATTTTCTTCGAAGCAGTGCCCTCCTGAAGTCTGAAAAAGGGGGATTTCATTCAGCTTTTTGGACACGGTGGAAATAATTCATTGCGAGAGCTTGCTTTATTCTTGTGTTGTGCAGATCACCGGAGAGGCTGCATGCTTTCAGACGGGAGAAGGGGGACAGTTACGATGACATCTAAAACCACTGCTTTGGAGCTCCGCGGAAGGGAGATGCTGTAAGTACTTTGTCAGTCATTTCGCACTCATTATTGGGGAGTCGGATTGAGAGGATGCCGCACCGCACTGTCGCCCCTGCGGCGCTTTCCCACAGGCGCCCCTATCCAAAGTACGGCACGCTACCACCTTCCCCCTGCCTAAATCCCCAACGGGCAGGTGGACTGTTTACCATACCTGTACATAACAGAGATTTTCTCTCAGCTCTTGCGTCAAGTGTTCTCTCATAATGCGTAAGGCTGGTGCAGTGAGCAGAGCGCAGCCTGCTTCAAAGCGCACTACACCTCAACAGGACAGAGACGTACAATTTGGCTTTTTGTGCTCTGCTGCCACAGAACGTGTTACATTCAACATAAAGATTGGTTTGTTTTGTGCGTTTGAATTGAAACACCCAGTCAGACGTGAAAGCAGACGCGAGGCAAATGCACGCAGTGTGCCACAAGAAGCAAAACGCAAGACGTGTTTTCAGACGCGTTTTGAACCATTGTGACCACTAGTTTTAAACCACATTGCGGTTTTTGTCTTGTCTCTGCTCGGCACAACTTGCAGCTCGTCTTATCCCATTCCTGGCTTGAATAATAATTCCCAGCGGTCTCTCCGGGGAGCGCTGCTTATTTATTTGGCTTAGAAAAGACGTTTAGCGCAAAATGTACGTCAGATGCGTCATGACAAGGAAATCTCTGGCTTTACTCTAAAAATACTAATCTTTGACTCAGCGTGGAGCGTCTCCTGGAGTAGTGGGATGAAATAAACCGAGCCGTCTCCCGTTGGTCCACTAGGGGTCGTACTTGCATTGTCTTGGCCTCAATGAATCTAATAGGGAGATCCAAATGAATTTCCACGTCAACTGTGCCGCCCCCCCCTCTCCCTCCTCTCTGCCGCTCTCATGGATCAGTCACGTTGTAGAATCGCAGTCCTTTTCACCCCCCTCTCCCCCTGCGCTGTGTTAAGGCGTCAGCTGATGCCCATGGAAGGACACTATAGAATATTTTAAACGGGCAAATAAACCGATAGGAGTCCATGGGCCAAATCGAAGTACATTACGATACAGCATACTCACCATTTTTGCTTTACCCTTTTACCACCCCAATTTAAAGAGCTCGCAAAAGACACAGCACTTGTACTTTTTTTTCCTCCAATTAAATGAGCTAAAAATCAGTATGAGACCTGGGCACAGATTGGATTGGCAGCATTACTACGTACGTGGTGCATACAGATCCTCCACTCCACTCCATTTAAACAAATATACACAAAATATGGCATCGTGAGATTGTTTTTCTTCAGTGGAACTTAACCTACAATATCTGTCTTTACACATCTTTTACTCACGTCGCCAACTATGCTTTTTTAGTTCGACGTTTATCACTTCAACACTTTACTAACACGCAAAGGCAGCACTTCAACGTAGTTCTTTTAGTCGTTATGTTGATTATCAGTCAGTGGCGTCTGAGTCAACGAAAAATTTTATTAGCAAATTGATTATTTTATTAGGATTATAAGAACTTTAATGGAGCACAGCAGAAAGGAGAAGGCATGGAGTGAGTGAGTGAGCCAGAGTTTTAAGAGTGACTGGACACTTTAATCTCCCTTTTCGCTTATAAAGATGTAGTTTGATGGCTGCTTCTGTCATTTTATGCGGGATCCTAATCATTTTGAAAGCTTTACTTGATTAATTGATGAGCAGGGCATGTCTTTAGTCGACTAAGAATTTCTTTATTCAACTGGTTCAATGTGTAGACCTACAATTTATGATTTTTTAGACTATAAAGTGATATATTTTCGTAGAAAATGACAAATATTGTAGCTTTTCTTCTAACTAGGCCTGTCTTAGTAACTATTTGGACTTACTATTAATTAATTGTTAGATGGAACAGTATTTTTTGAGGGCCAATGATTATCTTGGGTACATTTTCTTTGTACTAATTGGACATTTTATTTTTTATTTTTTCTGTATTATGATAAAGTTGGAGCTGTAGAAGGTTGAATTATTATGAACCATGACTCATTATAGATGCAAACTAACTAAACTGTTGCATTTGTCATTTATTTATTATCAGCGAAGATGTTTTCTAACAATATTGTACATTTAGAACACTTTTTGGAGATAAATCTGCTTTATGGCTTGCTTTTAACATCGTATATTGCGTATATTTTCTTCAGCAAAAAAAATCACACCTCAAAATTTGCTGTTGTGACAGATCTGTTAACAAAAGGCAAACCAGCAAGTGAATATTGATTTTCTGAACAGCCACCCTCTGATAAAATGACAGTATATATATCGGCAAAATGAATGGTACAATTAACAACAAAAAAACTAAAATATGTACCGTTTCAGTATAAAAAATGTTTCAGAAGAAGCGCTTCCTGGACCTCCAGAGGATAATACACAGTAGATCCAACTCAGTGGTGCTCTTTGGGAAGGGAAGTCGGTACAAAGATGCAAAAAAAAAACCAAGGCACTCACTGGTTCAAAATTTTGAACCAGTGAGTGCCTTGGGTTTTTTTTTGCATCTTTGTACCGTTTCAGTCTTGATACTTAGAGAGTAGAAGCGACGTGACCCAAGTGTTGACATCCATAATATAAAGTACAAGTGATCCTACCCCTGACTCTCTCCACACAAACATGCACAAACTAGGGATGTAACGATGTCCAAATTTCTCTGTACGACATCTCACATGACGATATTTATTGCGATATTTTGTAGAGGCTTCCAAAACTGTGAATATACTTCTTTTTCCTTTAGAAAAGCTGTTAATTCTGTCATAAACCAAAGATTTAAGGTTTAAAAATGCTTATTAAGTACAAGTGATCCTACCCTGACTCTCTCCACCCATATATGCACAAACTAGGGATGTAACTATATCCAAATTTGTCTGTACAACATCTCACATTATGATATTTATTGTGACATTTAGTAACAAAATTGGGAATATACGACTATTTCCTTTTAAAAATGCCTTTGGTTCTGTCATAACCAAAGATTTAAGGTTTAAAAATGCTGAATAAGTACAAGTGATCCTACCCTGACTCTCTCCACACAAACATGCACAAACTAGGGATGTAATCATATCCAAATTTGTCAGTACAACATCTCACATGACAATATTTATTGCAATATTTTGTAGAGGCTTCCAAAATTGTGAATATACTCCTTTTTCCTTTAAAAATGCCTTTAATTCTGCCATAAACCAAAGATTTAAGGTTTAAAAATGCTTATTAAGTACAAGTGATTCTACCTTGACTCTCTCCACACAAACATGCACAAACTAGGGATGTAACTATATCCAAATTTGTCTGTACAACATCTCACATTATGATATTTATTGCGACATTTAGTAACAAAATTAGGAATAAACTACTTTTTCCTTTTAAAAATGCCTTTGGTTCTGTCATAACCAAAGATTTAAGGTTTAAAAATGCTGAATAAGTACAAGTGATCCTACACTGACTGTCTCCATACAAACATGCACAAACTAGGGATGTAATCGTATCCAAATTTGTCAGTACAACATCTCACATGACAATATTTCTTGCGATATTTTGTAGAGGCTTCCAAAATTGTGAATATACTTCTTTTTCCTTTAGAAAAGCCTTTAATTCTGTCATAAACCAAAGATTTAAGGTTTAAAAATGCTTATTAAGTACAAGTGATCCTACACTGACTGTCTCCACCCATATATGCACAAACTAGGGATGTAACTATATCCAAATTTGTCTGTACAACATCTCACATTATGATATTTATTGCGATATTTAGTAACAAAATTGGGAATAAACTACTTTTTCCTTTTAAAAATGCCTTTGGTTCTGTCATAACCAAAGATTTAAGGTTTGAAAGTGCTTAATAAGTCATTTCATTGTGTAAACTGGACTGAAATGGAGCAAAGGTTTATTGTATATGTAGTTTCTTCTGTTTCTTTTGGCTATTGCTGCACCATAACACTGAATTTAAGCGAAGAGACTTGACCCACGTTATTACTGAGTGACTATTACGATATTTTGGTTAATGTTACATCCCTGGCAGACACTACCCTTCCTTCCTCTGTCCACACATACATGCACACGGGTATTTGCAGGGGGCTAGGGGGGCTTGTGAGCAGTGGGCAGACAGCACGTCGAAGCCCGAGTGGTAACAGACCATTACTTCCACTGGGCTTCTCATGGGCGCTCATGCACAAGCCGGGGCACACGCAGCAGATGGCGAGGGCCTGCCAGGGGAACCAAGTGTCCAGGGAAGAAAGGCTCAGAGGAGACACGGGCAAATGAGTCCAGGGTTTTGTAGAGGACTTAATGTTGCGAGTTAGGGTCAGAGCTAATGATTGTTTTAGTGGTGGATTAGTCAGCGATTCTTTTTTCGATTAGCTGTTGAAAGGGCCCATATTACACAATTTCTGATCTGTTATTCTGCTGTTTCCTCATCAACATACCTGAAGTTTACCTAGAGCTTGCATATTTAGACTAGAGTGAGTCATATGGTAATACAAGAAGTGCTCCACTGTGTTTTTAAACTCCAAACACCTTCACTAGAATCATTTGGATCATTTCAACCCAAGAGGTAGCTGTTTAACTTGAGTATTTTCACTTCATGACATCACAAAGTGGAGTTGGTGCATTTTTAGAGCTGTTGGAGATGCAGACTAAAAATGCAGTACTACTCAAAAATGTGTGAACGAAACAAAAACACAACTTCAGGTATGTTTTTGAGGTAACAACACTTTAACATTACTAAAACTTCTCAAGAGCCGCGTAATACAGTTCATTTAAAGGTCCTATCTTAATAATTTTTGACATTTTGATTTTAAGAATGGTCTTTTCATAAGTGTTTTAGTCCAGAAATAACAGTAATTTGTGTTGTATAATTAATTATAAAGCCTCTCAGAGAATCGGTGCCGTGTTGACTTGTTAGTGCACGTGAATATTGAACTTTTTTACACAAATCAGCCTGCTTTTCATCATTTTTTTTTTTACATGCATAACCGGAATTGTCACCACAAAGAAAGT